AATTAAGTTGTACTTTTTGTAACACATTTTTAATTCATAGTTACTGTGAATTATTTTAATCCATACTTTCAGCAGCTGTTTTAGTTACAGGAAGCTTGTGGTTTTATCATTCAGATCAGACAGGAGTTCTATGAATCCCTAAATTATCCCTTATAATAAAAAAAAGGTTATCACTTGAGAGAGGTAAGTGACCTCTGATCTCAGCCTCAGTAATTTTTCATGATTAAATGGAAAATTTAAAAACTACAAAAATCAAACCCCATCAATCTATAAATATGCAATCCAACTTCCTATAAAAGCTTAAGTTCTTAAGTTAAGTTCTCAGAGAAAGCCTTTGGCAGATGAAACATGGATGGGCTATTAAGATAAATGGTAAGTGACTATGAACTATGCAGCTCACTTAGGTTTGGCTAATACACTCCATGATCCCTAGACAAAAAAAGGTTAGGAACTGTTTTAAATCTCTTTTTTGTAGGGTCTAGTCAAAGGGTAAAAATAAATGCTGGTGTTATTAAATTACTCAAAACCAGTAGAATCCATTTTAATTTCTTTTATCTATAATTAATTTCTTCATCTCGACAGGTTACTTATAAATCACATCAGCATTTCCAAGTATACCTCTGGCATTGGTTGTTTATGGCAAGAAATTCAGGGAAGGCCAGACATTGTTTATTATGACAGGGAATGGTCCTGAAATTCTATAAGCATGAAAAATAGATGCAGAAACAAGAAGGAATCATGTTGGTGGCCCTTCCTACTTCTCCCTCATTCAAATGAAGGGCTTATTCACAAGACATCCCAAAGTTCATACTTTAAATGAGAATGGTGCCCCCAAAACAAAGAGAAAGGCCAGACCATTTGACTGACATGAAGATATGCCTTGATGTGCCTGATCAGGATAGGCAAAAAGGATTTTTATTCATTTATTCACTTCCATCATTTGAATCCACATGCATGATGTGTCCTCAACATCCAACCATTTTTTTTTTTAGGGACTGGTTGAAGTTACAATAGACTTGAAAAAATTACTTACAACCTGTCCTCACACGTTTAACCATTGCGACATCCCTAAGATCATATGATCAAACTTTGGGCGCTTAACATCTAGGTGTACAACAGTCACAACATAACAGGGTTAAGTGATTGCCATTGTGGTCTTCCTATCCAGCTTCCAACAAGAAATCAACAAGGGAAATCAGGTTCATTTAACAACCATGTGATTCACTTAAGTGCAAGGATTCATTTAACAACCATTCCAAAGAAGGTCATAAAATTGGGTGCAACTCACTCAACAACCCCTTGCTTTGCAATATAAATTTGGGTCCCAGTGCTAGTTGTAAGTCAAGGACTATCAGTATGGCCTTATTAGTTGCAGAAAAAAAACCCTAAACATAAATGCAGCAGCTACTTTGTTTCTAAACACTTAGAGCAGGGGTGGGCAAACTACGGCCCGTGGGCCACATCCAGCCCGTTGGTCATTTTAATATGGCCCACCTCTGAAAAAAAAAATTCCCCTCTGAAAAAAAAACTGGGGCTGGCCAAAAGAGACCCCGCGCCGCGCGCCATAAAATTGCACACACAACACGGAGCTGGGCAGCCGCTTCCCTGGTGGCGGGGCCGAGGTCGCCACCCAGGGAACGCCCACTGCTTTCCCTCCGCCCGGGCTCCGCTCAGGTGTCCGGCTGGGGCTGTCAGGAGTTGCTACCGCGGGCGCAGCTCCGCGCGGCTCCAGTCCCGCGTTGCCTTGGGAAGGGAAAGGCAAAACCAGGAGCCACTGAGCCTAAGCCTCCAGTGCCGCTGCTGCCATTGCAAAGCGCCACCGCGGCTCTTCCTTTTTGCCTTTCCCTTCCCGGGGAAACGCAGGACTGGAGCCGTGCGGAGCTGCGCCGGCGATAGCAACTCCTGACTCAGGAGGCCTCTCAGGGGAGGGGAAGGAGGAGAAGAAGGGGGGGGAAGGGGGGGCAATTCCCAAAAAAATCTTGTGCTGACCCGGCCTGTCTGTCAAATTTTAAAAGTCAATGTGGCCCCCGAGCCAAAAAGTTTGCCCACCCCTGACTTAGAGGAACATAATTTGTTGAAGCCCTTAAGCGGTTACTATCTCACCCGTGCTTGAATTCACTTGTTCAAAAATTAAATTTTGATATGTCCAAACATGTAGATTTGCCCCTACCCCATCCCCTGCAAGTCAGATCCAGATCCTAACATAGAGTGTTTGGGGAGAAAGCCATGCTTATTTTTATGGGGAGGTGTCTTGTGTTATTTTGAACGGCTAAAATTCACAAGAATTCATAGGTAGGTTTGCTTTGATTCTAACATCTCATGGATCTTTCCCAATAAGGCAGATTTGATTGTGCATTTGGAATTCTGCCAGCGCTGATACACAGCCTTTCTCATATGTTTGGGTAAGATATGAGGAGAATAAGAAACAGCTTATGGTAAAGGAAAATTAACCATTGTTTTTCAAAAATCAGCATGGTTTGCAAAAACAAGTAGGAACCTTCAGTTGGACACTATATGATGGGAGTAAGCTGAAAACAAAACTTCAAACAATGAACAGTATTGATTGGCATTTAATAGTATTTGGAACTAATTCATAGTTGCAGTCTTACAAGGAGGAGGTAAGCAGGTACACCATCATTCAAACTTTCCAAATTAAGAATTAGTATTTCTTCTTACCTAAATACAGTTATTAAATTCACATAATCTGGATTACAAATTAATCTTTCTTCTGGGTTTACAATACAGAGGCTAAACAAACCACCTCAAGCCTATTATTTATTAGAAAAGCAAAGATCAATTATATGCTATTTTGAAAACAAATATTATAGAAACATTACTGATACTAAAAGAAAGCATTCTATATTTCTATTCTGATCCATGGTGGCACAGTGGTTAGACTGCTGCTGATTGCCAGCTGCCTGCAATTTTGCAGTTAAAATCCCACCAGGCTCAAGGTCGACTCAGCCTTCCAAGGTGGGTAAAATGAGGACCCAGATTGTTGGGGGCAATATGCTGACTCCGTAAATGGCTTAGAGAGGGTTGTGAAGCACTGTAAAGGGGTATATAAGGCTAAGTGCTATTGCTATTCTAAAGGCAGTGTATCTACTTCCTTTGCTCCAGTATTTTCAAACCTGTTTATTACTCTGGTTCTGACAAATCTCCTACCACGTGTCTTTCCATTTGCTCTCCAGCTGTTCTAAGTCAAAAGGACAGTCAAGTAAGACCTTTTGCCATTTTGCAGAAGATCATTCATTCTAAGCTTGTCCTCCTCTCACTGGCAGCTCAATGAATGATGGCTCTGCCTTATATAAAGACCCCTTCCTCCCTAAGAGATCACGCTCCATCTGCTATAGTTATTGTCCAGGGGATGATAATAGCATTAAGTTGATCCCAGTTATTTTGCTTCAGGGTTTGCTTCCAGACATTGAACAAAAGCTCAATTAATGAGCAAATGAAAACACCCTTTGCTTTTTTTTTTTGAACCTAAGGTTTTAAAAGTGAACTCTTGGCTTTCCTATACACTCCCGATGCTGTGTTTTGTAAAGAGCTGTCCTTTTTCTGATGCTACATTTTGCAAAGGGATATGATTAACAGATGAGTCATCATCTATAATCTACTTTTGGGTAAAACCTCCATATAAGGACCGTGTGGGGGGAGGGCTTCTGTTTTACTTCCAAATGTCAATAGAATCAGAAAGTATGTCATCTGTGCAATCTGCATAATTTCAGTAATGAAGCTATTAAGGACATGATGCAAAATATGTCACTTGCAATGACCTATACCATCTGCATTATTTACACAAATGATGTTAACAAAAACTAATATAAATTCCAACTACTTTGGAGGCATCTGACCTGATTGTTATTCAGGAAAGTATTCTGATGGAAAGTTTGTTCATTGCACCCAGAGTCTGCTGAAAGGAGGCTTATTCAGTCAAAGGTTTACAGTACTTCATATATTATTATCATACAGAACAGAATCAATAAAATAGAAGAGTGAGCCGCTATCACCTTTTGCAGACAAGCAACCTTGATTTATATCATAGGAACAATGAAACTTGCCCCATTTGCAAAGGCATTGCAAGGATTCTGCCAGCAGTAGAGAGCTTTTAGCCATCTAGATACTGCTGTGAGCTGTACCACAAGTTCTCCTCACCACTAGCCCTGCTGATCAGGTTATTGAGTTGTAATCTAGTCACATTTACAAGGCCAGTGGTCTATATCAGGAGTCTCTGATCTTGATAACTTTAAGCCTGGTGGACTTCAAGTCCCAGAATTCCCTTTGCTGGCTGGGGAATTCTGGGAGTAGAAGTCCGCCAGGCTTAAAGTTAACAGATATAACAGATAATCAGAGTTGGAAGGGACCTTGTAGGTCATCTAGTCCAACCTCCACCCAAGCGGGAGACCCTACACCATTTCTGACAAATGGCAGTCCAATCTCTTCTTGAAACTCTTCTTGAAGTTGCCAAGGTTGGAGACCCCTGGTCTATAGCATGTGTTTTGGATACCCAAATGCATTACTGTGCATATATGCAAAGGTCAAAGCTCACAAAAACTCATATCTCTTAGTGAAAGTTGATAAGACAATAAAGATGCTGCCAGATTCCTTCTGAATAAATACTAGCGATCTTTCCATTTGCACATCTATTCTAGATGGCACAAATAGTGCTTTAGAACTCATGTTCATTCCTGATTCATTAAGTTTTTAAAGGCAAAAGAAGAAATACATAGAGGAGAGAACCACATAACTATATAGAGAGGACCACATTTTATATTATTGGCCTTTGTAGTTCAATATCATATCGAAAGGTCAAGAAGTTAGTAAATGTATGATTGTTGTATATTCCTAGCTCAATCCTTCAAGTGAGCAATATTGGAAAGCTATGTGGCTTTGCTCCTGAGGTGGGTGACAAAAACTGACCAGTGGAAAGATTCTTGTGAAATTAAGACAGGCCAAGTTGGAACCAACTGATTATTGTTCTTATTGTTCTTCTGTTACAGTCAGGCTCTCCAGAACAAGAAGGCTTCTTCAATCTGCTGACTCATGTGCAGGGAGGACGTATGGATGAACAACGCTGTAACATTCAAATTGTACATGGCAAGAGTGGCTCAGATCCCGAAAACAGTGAGTTCTCTACGCTAAATAAGAAAATTTAGTAAATCCAGGAGTTACTAGGGCAGTGAATGCATTTTCCAAAAACCAAGCAAAACTTTGGATCCCGACTACTGCTAAAGAGAGATCATCTTCTGTTGGATCTAGTTTCAGTATTTACAAAACAGATGTCTTGGTATATGGGAAAGTTTTCTCGCAAAATTCATGTAAAATATTATGAGAAAGTCTTCTTCCACTACAGATTAACATACTGATAGCTCATTTACTTTTTCTAGAGTGCAACTGAAATCCCCTAACTACTGGGCCTATTTGTTAAGAGAAGCCATTTCCAATATTGCTTGGGGATTTCATTTCATAAATACTCATTGGCTGTCGGTGACTGTAGGGATATATCCATGTGGGGTGTTTTGTTTGCTTGCTTTTCTTTTTATTTATTTATTATTTTTCACATTTTTGAATCACCCACCTCCCTCAGAGCCAGAAGTTGTTTACCATTGTCTTCTTCTGACACATGATTACTTTCCTGGTAGTCTTCATTCAACCCAGTTTTGAAATCAGCCAAAGTTAGCTAGGAACTGTCTCACATCCATCAAATGCTAAGAAGCAAAAGTGCTAAATTAACAAACGGCCATGTTTGACATACCCCAGAGTAGTGACATCTAAAGCAATGAAAAATAATGTACTCTTGCTGTCCTTCATTATGCCCTCCATTGATAGCTGTTTCTATTTTGGGGGGCCTGCAGAGGATAGCCCTAGCCCACCCCCTGAGATGGACAACTTCATGAAAATGCTGGCTCATACACAGAGCCGACGAATGGACGATCAAAGGGTCAGCTTCAACTACCTTCCTGGTTTTCAGAACAGTAACACCAGCAGCCCAGCAGGCTCCGGGACCACCAAGGTGAGTCTCTTTAGAAATGGATGTGAGCAGGAGCAGGGTGGTCATTAAAAACCTGCCTAAACAGTGAAGAAGCCGGGTTGGTAAATCAATCAAACGGGCTAAGCCACACACCCTGTTCTCAGAAGCCTTGTCTTACTAAGTCTGGAAACAGGCAAAGTAAATATAAATACAGCTGTATCTCTTTCGCCTTTTTTTAATGAGTTCCCTAACTCTCTAAAATTCTCAGGATGGATCATGCAATGGAAAATATATAAAATCTGAAACCTTGATAACAAAAAGCAGCACACACCTAAAAGAAACAGAGACACTCTTTGCCCCTATTCCACTATCATGTAGGAAACATGATAGAAACTTAATATATTTTTCAAGACAAATAATAGCATAAGAAACAGCAATCCCGTCTATGGAGCTATCATGTTTGCACATGTGCATTTTGTACACGTGTGAAAAGGAGCAGGGTTTTGATCACAACAACATATCTCATTGAAATTTTTGGACAGCCTGCTGTCTGGGTTTCCCCCCCCAGAATCATCTACCTTTGTGATGTTACGCATCAGGAATCTGGTTGCATTTTAGTTCAAATGCAGTCTCTTTTTTGTACAGGTTTGGCTTGATCTAAAAAGTCCTCCAGTGCCCAATCAATCTTTCCTCCTGGCACCATCTATACATTAAGACTCACAAGTGCTTCCTGCCTGTCCCGTGGAATAGAAAAGCTATTTTCAAAAGCCTTTCTTGGCAACCCTGCCTTCAAGGGCTGGCCAAATATAGTTATCATCTCATTAGCACCTATGTTTGACCAAACTACTGTTTCTTTTTTTTCCTCACATTATCAAGTGGCTTGTTTTCTCTTCCAAGTGTGCCTTAACACTCTGATATCAGTCAGTCACGCATCCAGAAGGGGATAGGACAGGCAATTGTGCCTTGAGCAAAGACCAAACTATGTTGGAAAATTTCCTTGGGGGGTGGGGGGAAACTCCAGTGAACTTGTCATAAGGTTACAACGTGCTTGCTGCAAAACAGTCTCTAGTGAGAAATACGTATTTAAATATGAGAGGATTCACGGCACCCAGTCATAACCTCTCAAAATTCTCTTCCGAGTTGATTCTGTCTATGCCTAGGCTTGTGTCTGCTTCTGCCTAGCCACTCTATACAGAGGAAAATTATCCTGCCTTTTGCTGCATTATCAACCTCTGCCTATTTTCTTCTTGCAGAAATGAGATCCTCCCAGCCCTGCTTGGGAAAGCAGCAGAGATACCAATGTGATGCCACTAAGCACGCGCTATGCCTCTCACTCAAGATCATCCCTTCACTGCTGTATCAACCTTGCACATTTACTGTACATGCCCTGGGATTCTAATAAACATGTCCAACTGTTCCCTCCTTGTTGATTTCCTTAGCAGATATCCTAGCGTCAGGATGGGCAGGCCACTACAAGACAACACTGCTGGTGGCTTGAAGAAGAAGTTAGCTGTTTCTTGCCACGCATATGTATAATCAAAGCAAAAATGTGGATGACATTGCTACTAATTCTGTCTGCAGCTCTGGAAATAGTGAAGAATACAGAAGACTAAGAATTCCGAATCCCGCTTTCTCCCTCAGGAGACAAAGTTCTTGCTGCTGGACTAAATAATTGGACCCAAATTCCATCAAAAAGAAAATGACACTACTATTCTAACATTATTCATGCTTCAGTTTCACGTCATAGCTTAGAAAACAAATAAATTAATCCCAGTAAGCCCTCTTGAATTCCCAATTTAAATTCCCTGTACTAGATACTAGATGGAACTAGATGTACTAGATGGAAAATTTTCATTTGATGGAAAAGAACCAGAAAGGCTGTTGAAAGAATTAGCACATAAAGGACACACTTACCCATATAATCCTTCTCTAGGTGTCTATAGAAGAGCCCTCATAGAGCAGTGGTTAAAATGCAGGATTGCAGGCTAACTCTGCCGACTTGCCAGGAGTTTGATCCTGACCGGCTTAAGGTTTACCTTCCATCCTTCCAAGGTCGATAAAATGAGGACCCAGACTGCTGGGGGAAATACGCTAATTCTGTAAACCGCTTAGAGAGGGCTGTAAAGCACTGTGAATCGGTATATAGGTAAGTGCTATTACTATCTGCAAGGGCATAAGTGGGCAAAAATGACTACATGCACATTGCAAAGTAATCTCAGCCTGCAACACCCTTACATGTGACACCGTGAGGCAGGTATGAAAGGAAAAAACTACTAGGTCTCAATGCAAGTTTCATTAATTGGACTTGTGTCTTGGAACAAACATTTATAACTCCTTTCCACATGAAATCTGCATACATTTTCAACCACATATATTCAAGGAGCATTAAAAATAGGAAGTGCTATGGAGCTAAAATCCAAGCAATAGGAGTGCTCAGAGAAGCTACTAGTTTTCCAAAATTTTTGAAATTTTTTTCCTTGCAAACATTTTGCTTGTCATCCAAGAAGTTCAAGAACAAAGTCTTGATTTGAAAACTGAAGAAGTTTCTTGGATGACAAGCAATATGTTTTCAAGAAAAAAAATGAAGAAAATCTAGATGTCTTTTGGAAGACCACCTTTAGATTCTCCACCTATTGTTTTCTTTCTTGCCAGTTTTTCATACCACAACCAACCTTGTTCAGCAGTTATTGGAAAAAGATAATACACTACTAATCCCATACACCACTGTTCCCCAACCCAGTTCCCCTTTAGAGTTATTTTGCTCCTATTAGATGACTAATTCTTAGAGTGGTGCTGCACTTCTGATTCAAAGATACTTAAGGAAATATCACAATTTGAACTTCAGTCTGGGAGATGCAGTACTATACACAGTTGTGCTGTGTAATATAATATTACTGTATGCTGCTTTAGTCAAGGTGATTCACATGAGACGGTTGCCAAGTCAGTGATTAATTTTAATGATTATTCGTTGCAAGAGACTGATCACAACTGAAGAAACAAAATCATTTTTTCTCATTCTTATCTCCAAAATGTTTTAGATATATACAGAAGAATACAATTCAGAATTACATATATACAAAATTCCAAAATTTATTGTGGAATACAATTTCATTTTATTGCCGAAAATCTTCTGGAATAAAAGGGAGAATACCACTCCATTATTTTTTAGCCTCCTCCAACTGTTTCTTCTCACTTATCTCCCGCAATCTCTTTCTAAAGGCTTCTAGATCTTTTCTCTGGAGAAGACAGAAATGCAATTTTCACCATTGATTTTTCATTGATTTTCCAAACTGTACATTTATTGCATTTATTGCAGCAACAGATTTACCTGCTCTTCATTTAGAGGTTGAAAGATCTTGCTCTGTAGAAAATGGAGCAAGAAAACAATTAGTGTCAGAAGTGATATAACAAGCTATGACAGAATATAAAATGCCACCAAGAAAAAAAATGGAGAGATCAGCAAGTAAAATGCTGTGCTTAAAAGAAATAGTTGAATGGAAACTGGAATCAAGGTGCATCATTTAGGAGGGAAGATGCTCTACTATGTTCTACTGAATGTCCTACTTGTCACTATTGTGAATTTCTTTTATTTTAGCATGATAGACCATAGAGTCTAGCCAGTACTTGAGCAAGTCTAATTTAAATCAAAATAGAAAAAATGCAGAATAACGGAGTTGGAAGAAACCTTGGAAGTCTTCTAGTCCAGGGGTCGCCAACTTTTTGGACCTCAGGGACCACCAAACTCATAATTTTAAATCCCGTGGACCAGAGACTCTGGGAAAATCCCCCAAAAAGTCTGCACGAAAATTCCCCACACCATTTTCCTACCGATTGATCATTCTTTATTTGAGATTGCAGGATACCATCTCCAGCTCCGTTCTCAGGGGGAGAGAGAAACAGAGAGAGACTTTTGGCTTCATGAAAGGAAAGCAGAAGCAGCGGAAGTATTTCTTTCTCTCCCCCAAACTCCACCAGAAATGAGTCTTTGTGAGAGTTGTCACATCGGCGCAGCCTCTTGGAGCAGGATGCCTTGCAGGGTCCCAAAGACTCATTTCTGGCAGAGTTGAGGGGAGAGAAAGAAAGAGTTTTGCTGCTTTCCTTGCGTGCAGCCAAAAGCAGAAGAAAGAAGAGAAAGGAGCAGCCTGGTGGCCAGGTGAGGTGCGTGAGGCGCTTGGGGCAAGTTCCCCCCTCCCCTCACTACCTCGTGTTGTTCGCAATGCAAGTGATGCAAGCCTTGTGTTCCCGCGGGCCATGTGGGCAGCGCAGCCTTGTGTTCCCGCGCAGCCTGGATTAATTGCTTTGGGGAGTGCTTTGAGGTGACATTTCTCTGTGGACCACCAAAATTTTCTCACGGACCACCAGTGGTCCCCCTGGTTGTCGACCACTGTTCTAGTCCAACTCCCTGCTCAAGCAGTCAGATAAAGTGTTGGAGCACCCACAACTTCTGGAGGCAAGTTGTTCCAATGATTCATTGTTCTAACTGGCAGGAAAATTTCTGCTAGTTTCTAGGTTGGTCCTCTCCTTGATTAATTTCCCTCCTTTGCTTCCTGTGGTACCTGCAGATGCTTTGGATAATCGGTTGACCTCCTCTTCTTTGTGGCAGGCCTTTAGATACTGGAACACTGTTAATCATGTCACCCCTAGTCCTCCTTTTTATTAAACTAGACATACCCAATTCTTGCAATCTGCAATTGCATACCCAATTCCTGCAACTTTTTGGTTATGACTTTGTTTGCCTTTAGGTCAGTGGTCTCCAATTTTCCAGCTCTGCAGACCAGCGGCAGGGAAAAAAGAGGGGATGGTTTCGCAAGCACACTGCTTGTACAAACGCAGCTTTGCAAGCTCATCTGCCACTTGCGTGGCCCTGTTTCCAATGGGTCATGGCTCAGTACCAGACCACAGATCAGGTGCTGGGAACCCCTGCTCTAGGTGTTCGTAGATTTGTTGCTTATCTTTTCCAGAATCTTTCCAGGTATTGATACCAGGCAGATTCCCCCCATTTTTTTTTGAGGGGGGGAGAGATGGACATCAGGGAAACTTTGGAAATAAATGTATTAGCACAAAATTTTCTCATCTGATTACAGAAGACTTACTGCGATTGCATATTTTTCAAAAAATTCAGTCTGATTTGCTGTCCAGAATATAGCAACTGGGAAAGTCAGATACAGCATCATCTGAAAGAGAAAGAAAAAAACCCAAATGCCATTGGTTGAATCACAGAAAAGAAATTGCTTTACTTGACTTATATTGGATATTTTTTTTCTTACTTCCTTAGGTAAAAGGCAGACATTACAAAAATGGTAAAAAGAAAGAGTCTGTATTTCTTTTCAGACTAATTTTTTTTAGCATTGGTGGTATCCAGAGCTGTACTAGTCTCTCTGGCAGCAGTTCTCAAACTTTTTGGTCTCACGATCTCTTTACATGTTTAAAAATTATTGATATGTCAAAGAATTGTTGTTAACACGTGTTGTATCTATCAATATTTACTATATTAGAAATTAAAATAGAGAATATTTTGTAGTATTTTATTTATTTATATTTCATATTTAATTGTCCATCTCCCTATAATTCATATATTGTTCATCATAAATCAAGCTATTTGCAAATAAAGCTATTTTCATGTTAATATATTTTAGCATAAAAATAATTACATTTTCCAAAACAAAAACTAATAGTAAAAAGAGTAGCATTGTTTTAGTATTTTCAAATCTTCAAATATCTGATTTAATAGAAGACTGCTAAATTGTCCTTTTTATTTCTGAATTCAATCTGCTGCCATCTGCTGTTTTGGAAGGAATAAATAAGGAAAAGTCAGCCACACACAGATCTTAGTTGGAAAAGAAAGAAGCACTGCAGCCTTTTCAGGAAATTCTGTTTTGACTCCATACTAAAACCTAACAGGTTTAGCAGCAATGTAAAACTAAAGAGTGAAAAAAAATCTTTGCATTATTATGAAAATAATTTTGACCTAGCAGATCCCCTGAAAGGGCCCTAGGTCACTGCTATAGGGCAAAGTCTCAATCTTGTCAACTTGAAATTATGTGGACTTCAGTTTCCAGAATTCCCCAGCCAGCATGAGTTGAAGTTACCGATCTTCAAGCTGCCAAGGTTGACAAACATCACTTGCAGGGGAAGTGAAGGAGCCAATTCCACCCAACAGATAGTCCTTGACTTACAACAGTTCATCTAGTGACCATTCGAAGTTACAACGGCACTGAAAAAAGGGACTTATAACCTTTTTTCACACTTATGACCGTTGCAGCATTCCCATGGTCACATGATCAAAAATTCAAATGCTTATGACAGTTGCAGTGTCCCAGGATCACAGGATTCCCTTTTGCGACCTTCTGACAAGCAAAGTCAATGGGGAAACCAGATTCACTTAACAACCGAGTCACTAATTTAACAACGGCGGTGATTCACTTAAATGTAGCAAGAAAGCTGTAGCAAGAAAGGTGGTAAAATGAGACAAATTTCACTTGACAACTGTCTTGCTTAGCAAGAAAAAAAATTGGGCTCAGTTGAGCTCATAAGTGGAGGACTCTTCCTCTTTTCCTCAATAGCTCCAAGTTTCTGATCAGTTTAAGCTCCAAGGAATATTTGCAGGAAAGGGAGTGAGAGGAGGCGGCGTTGTTTCCCTGAAAAGCCTATTAACAAGTGCAACTTAGAGTTCACGCACTGAAACACGTCAAAAATAAGAATTCCCGAGTTCTTATATGTGGGTATATGCATAATTTTGTATGTATGCATGTATGTATGTATATGCATATTTACTTATGTAGTATATATTGGAGGTGGTGACCCTTTGAGAGCTGTATGCAACGAAATTTCATTTTAATGTAGGCCAATCAGTGTACATTCAAAAGTGACAATAAAAGTTATTCTAAGTCTCCACTATGTCGCAGGTCCTCTGACCTTGACCCTTCCCCCAAAGCGGAACGTAGGAAGCCGCCCCGGGATCTAGCGGGCCGCCCAAAGACGGGAGGCTTCCACCCGACCGATCCCTTTAATAAACCCGAATCCAGCCTCTCTCTCCCCCCGCCGCCCCCCCGCCCCTATCTTCCCGCCCCCATCGCAATACAGACCCGCAAAATCTCAAGCTGATTCCTGGATATCATGATGCCCCGCGACGGAAAAAGGAACCCGCCTCCTCTCTCCAATGGCCAATGGGAGGCCAGCCCAATGCAAGACGGAGACGAGGGACGGACTCGATGTTAAATTTCGAAGGCAACGAAGAAGGGAGAAAAGACGTCATCTTTGCGCGCCGTATTTGGCCTCGACAGGCAGAGGCCGCGATGCCGGAGTCGGAGACTGTCTCAGGAAAGCGGGAGCTTTTCTTCGTGAGTACGGCTGGGGAAGAGGTTGGGCTTCCATTGATGTTTACATGGCGAGGCTTTTTCTCAATGCAACCCCTCGGAAGGGGAGGCTCGCTTCGATATCTTTCCCCCCCCCCAATGGAGTAATAGAGTGGAATGTCGTACTTTATTGATCAAGTGTGATTGGAGGAATTTGTCTCCGGTGCAAAAGCTGCAAAAGCCAATCCTGATCATAACAATGATACCAATAGGAAGGGGGTAGTGAAGAAGATGGGAAGGATAATAATAAGAACACTACAGTCCTACAACATGGATAAATAGACTTAGACATAAGTCTTTTTAAGTGTAAGTATATTGGTCTAAGTATATATTGAACAAACACCCCCGATCGCGAACAGAAAAAGCAGTGCAGTTACAGTGGATCGCTTTTGCAACATCGTCAATATACGGTGGGGATTTTTGCTCGTGGTGAAAAAGCTTGTGCCCCTTAATTATCAACTGTGAATCGCAGTCCATAGTTGTGATGGAAGGGATAACAGTTGCTCTGATAAAGATCAGACAGGAAAGCCTGGCTGTCTGAAACTACTGTCTGCATTTTATCTTTAAGAAAAGATTTGGGAATTATATAGGCACCCTAAAATGGCTTGTATAACCAACTTCTAACAGTATATGATCAATGGATGAAAATCACAAAATGCTATGTTGCTTTTGAAAGCACATTTTAAGATAAGTGTAGCTGCAATTACTCAGTGCCTTTGTGAGATGGGCAGGAAAGACCATAACATTAATATTTCAATTAATAGTATTTCCAAGTCTATTACAACTTTTATATCAACATTTAGTAACATACTCTTATAAAATTATTTTTATTAACCTATTATTACCATATAACTAGTGGTGTGGATAGGAACATTACAGGGATTAAATAGCCAGCAGCTATTTAATGACACTGAGATTAGGATAAGTGTTTAGATTTTCTTGGTCGCCCATATATGCGTTATTACTACATAATGCTATCATCTATCCTATAGAAAAAACCTGAAAATAGTACTGTTGAGATATTGAGGTTGTAGGGCTGTTCAGTGAAAGAAACTCTGCTTTTTGTCCAAACCCATGTCACCTCCCTGCACAGGAGGAAGAAGACCTACAATATGAAGAAGAGATCTTGCGCAACCCATTTTCTGTCAAGTGCTGGATCCGCTATATTGACTTCAAGCAGAATGCTCCCAAACATATCCTGAACCTGATCTATGAGAGAGCTCTTAAGGAATTGCCAGGAAGGTATAGTTATCTTTCATTCATTATGATTGTTTTGAAAATTACATTTTTGCAAATACTGAAATATTTTTAACACCCAGTTTTTTTATAAAAGCCACTGATTTTTCAAAGTCAATAACTTGGATGCCCTTTCTGCCCCCTGCTTTTTTGGGGGGGGGTCAAAGTTTGTTTTTGCTGAAAGAGATTAGTAATACTTTGGGTAGCCAAATCTTCCCAACAAAAGTGTAAAGATTGTGGTTCAAAATTTGCTGTCAGTCAGAGTTGGAAAAGATCGAGATTCTTTATTTTGATGTTGATGATCTCTTTTGTTTTGCAGCTACAAGCTCTGGTACAACTATCTTAAGCAGCGGCGGAAACAAGTTAAGAGCAAATGTGTAACAGATCCCTGCTACGAAGAAGTTAACAACTGCCATGAGCGTGCCCTGGTCTTCATGCATAAGGTACAGTATTAGCCTGCAGACTCAAAGGGTTTGGTAGAGCCTGAGAGGAACAGGACGACATGGATGGGAAAAGCATTTGGCCTGTGCATTAAGTTCAAGGGGGCTCAGTTTAAAACACTTGCTGATTAGTTTTCCGATTGGAAAGGAAGGTGACTACAGGTAGTCCTTGATTTATGATCAACAACTATTTGAAGTTAGGACAGGCTCAAAAAAAGTTACCTGCTTGCAACCTGTCCTCAGAGGTATGACTGCTACATCACTCTGGTGGTTATATGATCACATTTTGGTTGCTTAGAAGCTGGCTTGCAGTTGTGCAGTAGTGCGGTTGAAGAATCCCAATTGCATTTTGCATTTTTTTTTAGTTTTGCAAAGACCCCAATTGGATCAGAATTGCACCACATGACATTAACAACTATGGTGTACACTTAGTGGCCATGGTAAAAATGGTTGAAACGTTGAGTCCAGTCATGTAATAACTCAACTTACTATGGAAAAAGCCAATAATCAAAGCTTAAACGTCAGTGTTTATTAGACAGCTCTTGCTAGAAGGACTCTGAAGAATACAATATTTGAGTCAGACCACTCTCCCCTCCAAGAAAGAGATGTACTCAAATTTATAATTCTCAGAAAGATGAGAGATTAATGCATAAGTAACATATAAACAATACATATTCATAGGTAAGAGATCTGAAGTTACCATACGTAAGGGAGCTCATGCTACTTCCTGTGCCTTTTGGACTTGCAAAACCAAAAAGGGAGGACTAAGGGAGGAAAACGGGGAGGAAAACATCTCCCGTAAATCAAGGGAAGGGGGAAATTTGAGAATGCCAAATGCTAAAAAGAAAAAAAAAAGTACAATTGCAATGACTCACAGCCAAAATTCTATGCTGAGTTGTGGATGTAAGTCAAGGACTATCTGTAAGATTTTTAAGGGGCTGGAGCAGCTTTCCTATGAAGAAAGGTTACAATATTGAGATTTTGAGAGCCTAGAAAACAGGCAAATGAGAGAAAATGTGGTTGAGGTGTAAAAATGATGCATGATGCAAACAAAGTGAACAAGGAGAAACTATTTCATCCGATGAAATTGAATCTTGGAAGAATCAGGGTAGAAAAAAGTGTTGTTTAAAAAAAGGTGTAATTCACTACCTCAAGATGTGTTACTGGCTACTTGCTTGACTGACTTCAAAAAATGTATGAAAGTCATGGTTATTAGCCTTGCTAGCGAAGTGACTCCTTCTGAAGACTAATGTGCTTGTACAATTGGTTGGCCACTGTGAGAACAGATTGCTGGACTAGATGAGCCAGAGGTCCAATCCATCAGGAGACTGGTTATGTTCTTATTTAAAACATGTACATTTATTTAAATTCTTTTAGGGAGGTTGTATTCACAAATATAAAGGCCATTTCAACATGAAGTTATAGGTGGACCCTTTTTATTCAAGGGTATGTGTGTGTATCTGATTCTGAAGGCAACCATCTTTGAATCAGATTGTTGGACAATATGGACTTTTGTCTGATTTGATGAAATGATTATTTTATTTCTGGTATCTTATATTTCCCACAGATGCCTCGGATATGGCTAGATTACTGCCAGTTTCTCATGGATCAATGTCGGATCACCCGTACCCGCAGGACATTTGACCGGGCGCTCAGAGCTCTGCCCATCACACAGCACCATCGTATCTGGCCACTTTACCTGAAGTTTGTGCGACTCTATCCATTACCTGAGACAGCTGTACGGGTCTACCGTAGGTACCTAAAGGTGAGGGTGTCCCCCCCATTCCCACTTTAGGTACTCCTTGTCAAGATTGTCCAATTATGAGACGTCTTTTCGTTATGGGAACAGTCCATCTCTTTCTCAAGTACCTATAGTGAGGACCTTGATGATTGCCAGGCTCTCACGATCCACACACACTTTCTCAGCATTCGGTTTCTCCCTCCCCCTCCCCATTTCATTGGCAAGTTGAACAGAGTTAAGGTTTGAAAAAAACAAAGCGGTTCAATCTTTGACACCCCTTGACTTAAAATCCATTCACTTAGCGACCACTCAAAATTACAGTGGTGTTGAAAAACGTCCCAGTTGGTCCTCTCACAACTGTTGCAGCATCCCCACGGTCACAGGATCAAAATTCGGGCACTTGGCAACCAGCATGTATTTATGACCATTGCAGCATTTCAGGATCATGAGACTGCCATTTGTGTTATTCCCAAGTGGCTTCTGACAGGTAAAGTCAATTTGTGGGGGGAGTGAGCCAGATTCACTTCACAGCTGCATGATTTACTTAATTACTGCAATGATTTGCTTTACGACCATGGCAAAAAGTCATATACTTGGGCGCAACTCATTTAACATTTAACTCATTTAACAACTGCCTAGCTTAGCAACAAATTCTGGTCCCATTTGTAGTAGTAAATCCTGAGCTATCTGTAATATATATTTTATAATTTTTCTCTCCAAAGTGGTTGCATACTCTAAAAAATGGGGGTCAATCAGAGAATACCATAGTTCTTCCCCGTTTAGTTACTTTTTGTTACTGGCATAGATCAGGAACTGAGTAATTCTTATTTGCAGTTTTCTTGAGTCCTTTATTGGAAAACGTTGGCCCGAGGAAGACTATTTCTGACAAAGTCTAAGAACAGACATAGTTTGTTTGATTGGTGTGTTTTATGCAAGTGATGTGAATTATGACAAGAAAGGCATAAAAATTGGCATTTATGTTGAGGTACCTTGATCTTCAGCTCATTGATTGTGGTCTGTTATAGGGCTTCTATGTGTTCTCTGTGTGTTTAAGATAAAAATCAGGTCTAAATATGTTCAAATGTTATCAGCTTTAATATGGCAAATGAGCACAGTCATATTTGTGTGAGTGTGTGTGTGTGTCCCCACATATGGCAAGTTACTGTTCTATCATTCCTCCTTGTATACTACAGCTGTTAAAATATAGAATATTTGTCCTTTTTTTGGAATCTTGTAAATGTACATAAAAGAAGGGATTACATAATATGTGACTCAGAAACAACTTCTAGATATATAGACTATCACAATTTCACAGCCATCGTGACCATTGCTAAGACTTTCAAAAGGAAAAGTCCACACACCTGTAAGTTTCCAGAGTTGGGGAATAATAGAATATACCTGATCCCATATGCAAGTTAAAGATAAAACTGGGATAAAGACCTCAAAAAATTTGTTGACGTGTCTGAGCTAAGGAAATACTATCATCTTGGCCTGGTTGTTAGCAGTTTCATTTTCCTAAGGCTGTTCTTTCTTAATTGGCGTAGGATTTGTGGACATATTAATAGAACCTCTCACATCATTTACAGAAAAAAAGGAGATATGGTTGGCACATGGACCTGATATGGTTGGCACATGGACTTTTGAAATAGCGTGGTGATTAAATGTATTAATAACTAGAAGTAGTTTAAGTTCAGGGTTCCTGAGTTTTGCTCCCCTTTGTGTTTTCCTAAACTGTTAACATAATATTGACCGTGTACAGCTTAGTTGTTCCTCGATGTTCTCTCCCAAAAGCAAAATCATCATAAACTGAACAGCCTAATATATTCATCTAATGTAGGCTGATGAATGCAGATTGGTTCTTGTACTCGACTAGTCTTCAGAATAGCATTTCCATCATCACTCTAATTAATCCTAAATTCTCTAATGGCTATATGCTCTGAGTCGTTGATACGGGGCTTATAGGTATGGTTTCTTTTATGTTGCAGCTGAGCCCTGAGAATGCAGAGGAATATATTGAGTATCTGCGTTCCATTGACCGTCTGGATGAAGCCGCTGTCCGTCTTGGAGCTGTGGTGAATGATGAGCGTTTTGTTTCCAAGGAGGGAAAATCTAATTATCAGGTAGGTTTCTGTAGCAGTCAATCATTTCTACCATCCAGAGTTGCATATTAAGTTTCCTTCATCTAAGTCCGCACGCTTTTTCTATGCCTCTCAGAAGCTTTTCTGTTGCCTCTTATTATTTGGCACTTCGGGCTTCTTTTGCAGTTATGGCACGAGCTCTGTGATCTCATCTCTCAAAATCCAGACAAGGTGAAGTCACTCAATGTAGGGGCCATCATCCGAGGTGGCCTGACTCGTTTCACTGACCAGTTGGGCAAGCTGTGGTGTTCTTTGGCAGATTACTACATCCGCAGTGGCCATTTTGAGAAGGTAGGCACTGAATCCAGCAGTCTGCATGATATGATGATACAGGCTAGAATCCCATCCCAGGAAGAAAATTCCCAAAGCGTAGATTGGGCGGAGTACAGCCACCAAATTGTTTTTTATCTGATTTTTCCCTACTAAATTGAGAATTAGGATTAGGAATGGACCTGTTATTTTGCAGGTCAATTTGTACAGCCCTAGGAACTTCCGTTAAGTCTTTTTTTTTATTAACCCTTACCAAAGACTTGAAAAAAAAATCTATTGTACATCTCTATCAGCCTTTCAGTTGTGCATCACTCAGCCTTCTATCCTTATTTTGGTAAATGAGGACCCAAAATACTCTTAGTTATTGGACTTTGAATTTGACGGGCAAATCAAATTATGGGCATAACTTTCTGTTGCCTGAAGTTTGCTTTTCAAGTAGGTTTAAGCCTAGCTGTCAGCCATCACTTTGAACTGACATAGGAGGTGTAATTTCTTAGCAGTAACTGCAACAGTTCCTGAGGAAGATTTCCTCCCTGTTAGATCATGTTCATTTCAGTTAGCTGCCTTTTGACCGACAGGGCTGTCCCATATAAATGAGAACCTGGTTTTCCTAAAGATGGATTGCATCTTGAGAGATGGACTGTGTTTTTATAAAACCAACTCCTTTCGAAGAGAGGTCCAAACCACCAGATGGCTGAAGAAGAAAAGCCAACAAGCTGGGTCCTGGAGCAGCCTCTGATTATTGTCTCTGTCTTAGGCTCGTGATGTGTATGAAGAAGCTATTCAGACAGTGATGACAGTACGGGATTTCACTCAAGTGTTTGACAGCTACGCCCAGTTTGAGGAGAGCATGATTGCTGCTAAGATGGAGACCACCTCTGAAATGGGACGTGAGGAGGATGGTAAGAGCAGCTTAGCCAGAAGAAAGCAAATGTTACTCCTTCTCTTTAAGCTGGATCTAGGGGAGCAAGTAACACAGTTTTTGTGTCTTCTAAAGCTTTCAGACTTTCACCAATCAGGACTTCTCAGATTGCTTGGTCTTGCAGTCCTCCTTCATTTCACCATCCTTCACTATTGGCTATGCTGGCTAGGGCTGATGAAAGTTGGAGTTCTCCAACTTGTAGATGGCCACATTCTGTCCACCTCTATCCTGGATCTTTACATATTGCTGGATGTTTCCCTGTGTTTTATTACAGATAACACCTTGTGTTAATAGAAAACGGTTTCTCTCTTTTAATCCATCCCATACATTAGTTATAGGCTACACAACTCTTTTCTTATCCTTCCCACCCCTTTAGTGAACTGTGTAGTTGAATAGAAAAGAACTGCGGTCCTACAGTATAAGTTCATTTCTTCTGTTTTTCTGTTTGGAAAACAGATGATGTAGATCTGGAACTGCGCCTGGCACGCTTTGAGCAGCTGATCACACGTCGGCCTCTGCTTCTCAACAGTGTCCTCCTGCGCCAGAATCCTCACAACGTCCATGAGTGGCACAAGCGGGTGAAGCTGTATGAAGGCAAACCTTGGGAGGTAGGAAAACGTTCATCTCTGAATGGCTAGAACTGTCGCGTTGCCAAGCCAGTAGCCTACAACACCGTTCCCATTTATTAAATGCTGGGTTTGATGTTAGATAACAATAACATTCTGGAACTGGAGCGCGTGGAACTACTTTTCAAGCAGTCAACTTGAAGCAGTCAGCCACCCAGTTTGAGAGTCCTTGGAGATTAGGTTTATCTGTGAAAATAGGAGATATCTGGGCTTCTTTTCATGTACTTGCATCTTAAAATAGCTTTAAAAATCTGTGTCTATGAGGCTGAGTTAAGACAAAGAGTCTTTTCTTCTCATTTGCTCAGTTTTATGTTTCGCGGTATCTCACCCAAGCATCAAGCAAGTAAGCAAGGAACATTCCAATCATGACTCTCCTTTCTGACTTACTTTTTACTCTTACCAGATCATCAACACGTACACGGAAGCAGTGCAGACTGTTGACCCGTTTAAAGCCACTGGAAAGTCACATACGTTGTGGGTTTCTTTCGCCAAGTTCTACGAGACCAATGGACAGATAGAAGATGTGAGTGATGCACTGGGCAGAGCCAAGCACTGCCCTAGCCTATTTCCTGCCTCTCTTTCCTAGCTGCTCTCTGAAGAGTTAAATTACAGGTTTTTCACAATAAACATATAAAAACATTCCAGATGTATACTTAAAGGTTGTAGGTTTTCTGAAAAGGGCCTTGGTGATCCTTGGTGATGCACAAAGCAATTTGGGGAGGGAGGGTCATGTCAGCTGCATTACATACTAGATCCCAAAGAGAAGGCATGGTGAGGTGGTTTTTTTTTCTTTCCTAGCTTTTCCTCTTATTTTTTTTTTCTCCCTGTCTTGTACCAGGCCAGAACAATTTTTGAAAAGGCCACCAAGGTGAACTTCAAGCAGGTGGATGAACTGGCCAGCGTCTGGTGCGAGTATGGTGAGATGGAGCTGCGGCATGAGAACTACGATCAAGCCCTGCGTATCCTGAGGGTGAGAAGAAGCCAAACAAATAGGAAGAGGGCATTCTGAAGTCTTGTAATCAAACTTGCTTGCTTGTAATTTTTTTACAAAGGATTAGGTTTGAACAGGGGTGTCAAACTTGATTTAATTGAGGGCTGCATCACGCTTGTGTTTGACCTCGGGGGTGATGGGGGGGCATGGCCAGCTCGCCATGCCCAATCTGTATCGGGGGCACCTGTGGTGGCCAAGTCCTATGGCAGGACTTCCCCCAGACCCTCCCTCCCTCTCATAACCTTCCTTCCTTCCTTCCTTTTCTTCTTTTTCCTTCTCCTTTCTTCTTCCCCTCTTTCCTTATTTTTCCTTCCTTGCTCTCTTCCCATCTTGTCTTCTTTTTCTTTTCTCTTTCCCTTTCTCCTTTCCTCTCCCTTCTTGCACACTCAAATGCAAAAGGGGAAACATTTGTTTTGTTTTTAGTTTGTTTTGCTAGCCCTCTGCCAGAGAAAACTGAGCTGGAGGGGGCCAGATCTAAGCACCCCGTGGGCCTTGAGTTTGACAGCCCTGCTCTATAGTCTCTATATCTTCGTGGATATAATGGGCCAAGAATCTGATCACTGGGAAGCTGACAAAGATTCTTTTTACTCCAGAATAAGGCGGGCATGGGTCTAGTTAAGCAAGCCTGAAGAAAGTCAGGATTTCTTTTGCAGACAACACAGCTACCTGATCTCAAATATCTGTATATACTGTATATGAACCCAATTCTTAATCTGCTTGGCCCGGGGATTCTACTTCCTCTGTTCTTACCATTTTTTTCTCCTTCCAGAAAGCTACAGCTATTCCAGCTAAGAAAGCTGAATATTTTGATTCCACAGAGCCTGTGCAGAATCGTGTATATAAGTCCCTCAAGGTGTGGTCCATGCTGGCTGACTTGGAAGAAAGTCTCGGCACTTTCAAAGTAAGTGGTCTTGGTTGGCTTCCATTCTTACCTATCCTGGCTGGCATTTCTTCTGGCAATTTTTACAATGAGCCATCTCGCCAGGCAGAGATTCGTTAGCCTAAGCTTGGCATCTAGAAGAAACTTCTCCTTTTTGTCTCTCTAGGCCAGGGGTCCCCAAATTTGGCAACTTTAAGACTTGTGGATATTTACCATTTTCGTTCCATAAGACACACCTGACCATAAGACACGCTTAGGTTTAGAGGAGAAAAACAAGAAAAAAAATATTCTAAACCGGAGCCTGAGAAGACCACAGATAGGTGTCCTCTCATGTGCTAGTTCTGCCTATTGACTCCTGCACTGTGGAAAAGAGGCAGAAGAGGAAGGCAATGACAAAGACAGAAGAGACAGGGTTCAGCAATGTAAAAGGACCCCACCACTATGGCCTGGCTGCTATTCACCAAAGGACTGGCACCATGACACAATATTCACTCCATAAGACGCACAGACATTTTCACCCACTTTGGGGGGGTGGGGGTGGGGTTTTCTTATGGAGTGAAAAATACAGTATTTATGGTGATTTTGTGTCACATGGGAACTTAAAAATGTTTTTTTTTAAACAGGACAAATTAAATTGATGGTGCTGAGGAGCTATTACAATTCCTGGATTTTCTTTCAAACTTAACTGCATGACAAGCTACACTTGAAAACGAAAATGTATTTCATTTTTGTATCTGGATCAAAATTCACATAATGGTTTACTTAAATACATATATCATTATAAGACACAAAATGTATCTGAAATATTGGGGGGACTGAAATATGCTGACCACTAAATGTCCCAGTCCAACTTCACTGGGGCATGTTTTAACATCAGAATAGTCTGTTCCTTTCTAATAGGAAATACTGTACTTTGACTACTTCAGTTGAAGTCCACAAGTATTAAAGATGCAAAGTTTGGAGACCTCTCCTCTAGGCATTATGAGATTGGACAAAGTCCTGTAACCAAGTGCAGGTGAAATGTTCTAAAAATAATATTCCCCCCTTAGAATCAAATCGAGATATTTCTTAACCTTCTAAATTTAGCAAGTGAGTAAGAAGTCATCCAAAATAAAAAAAATAATCTTTTTTTTTTGCTCTTCCTCTTTAAGGAATCTGAGCATCCTTTCCTTCCTATTTCATAAGTTTGGCTTGGAAATAATCTCTTGAAGCAGCAGGGTCAGGATAGAATTATTGGCACAGCCATCTGTTCCTTCCCCTAAGTAGCTGAAGAAGAATGGTGATAATAGTCTCCCATAAGTGCATTGCTGTATTTCTATTCATTTAACATCTATCATGTTACTGATAGGGAGCGTGACAGCACCTGAGATGACCAGTTGGGAAGAAGCCCACCAGGTTACACTAGAAAAGCCATTCAGTCTCAAATTTAAGTGTTTCTTCTCAATCTGGGCATAATTGGGAAGTGAGTATTAAGAATCTGTGCCTGTGATTGGAGTTCTGATCCAGCCTAGTATTGAAGCTTTTTTTTTTTTACTTTGCCATTTCTAGTCTACTAAGGCTGTATATGATCGTATTTTGGATCTACGCATTGCCACCCCACAAATCATCATTAACTATGGTCTGTTCCTGGAGGAGCACAAGTATTTTGAAGAGAGCTTCAAGGTGAGTTGGTTTCATCAATGCTTCCTTCTACCATCTGGGTTTGTATCAGCATAGAAGTCACTGAACCTAGAACACTGCATGTTACAGGTGGTAAGTACAGAAGAGAGCTTCAAACCAGCTGCAGTACACTAAGGTCTTATTATGTACAGCAGTGGTGGGATTCAAAAAATTTTACTACCGGTTCTGTGGGCGTGGCTTGGTGGGCGTGGCAGGGGAAAGATACTGTAAAATCTCCATTCCCTCTCCACTCCTGGGGGAAGGTTACTGCAAAATCCCATTCCCTCCCCACCCCACTAACCTGCTTTCCAGCTCTGTTCTCCTGTGTAGGGCAACCAAAGAAGACCCAGCCGATCAGCTGGGACTTGGGAGGCAGAGAATGGATGGGAGCAGGGCCTGTCAGAGGTGGTATTTGCTGGTTCTCTGAACCACTCAAAATTTCCGCTACCGGTTCTCCAGAACTGGTCAGAACCTGCTGAATATTTCCTCTGATGTACAGTATGTTGCAAAGGATAATTGCTGTATTCAATATCTCTCGTTCTCTTTCTCAAAACTCTGAACAAACTAACTAATATATTTTACGTTGAGATGGTCTGGGTTTCAGAGCAAACCAGTGGCTTAGGTGTAGGGACAGCTATAGGGACAGAGTAAATACTTTGCACTATAATTGCCATGCGCCTTTGCTGTCCTTAGCTATTGTTTATAAGAATTGGAAAAAAAAATGTTTTCTCCTGGGATTGCTATCAGTTGTTTTTTTTTTTGTTTAATTGGAAAGTTAAACAGAAACATAACAGAATTAGCATTCAAATACAGTAGAATGTCTGATTAAAGTGGTTGTTGGTTGGTTAGCAATTTGCAGGAAGAAAATTAGTCCTTAAAATGTGAATAAAGTTACAATATCGGCAGCATACAAGGAAAATGCCTATAAAATGTTCTACAGATTGGCGAGGATGTATCCCAACATGAGCCCGAAATACTGGAAGTGCAAAAAAAAAGGAAGGAACATACTACCACATGTGGTGGTCCTGCAAAGAATCCCAAAAATATTGGCTGAGAATTAAAAAATGGTTGGAAGAAATTACGAAGGAACAAATTGAATTATTCTTAATAAGAATTATTCTTATTAGGGATATTTAGGAAACAACATGGACAAAAAGTTAAATACATAATATTACATACATTGACAGCGGCCAGACTGGCCTTTGCTCAGTGTTGGAAACAGGCTTTCACTCTACCAGAAGAATTGATAATTCAAAAGGTAATGAGTTGTGCAGAAACGGATAAATTAACACTAGACCTAAAAGATAAAGAATTATCAGAATTTGGGACTGTTGGTATGAATGGATTGAGTGAAGACAGTCTATATAATAAATGGTATAGGTAGATTAGTAGTAGCTGTAGTAAATATATATTCGCATTAGATATCAATTGTAAATATTGCACAAAATGTTACAAACAGAAAATCACAAACTGTCGAAGTTGAAAAGTTTTTAATTTTTTCTTTGTGTTCATATTGTTTTAATTGTAAAATTAATAAAGTTTATTCTAAAAAAAATGTGAATTAGCATAATTAAATCACGACAGTCCCCTATGATATTTAAGTGAGCGAGGAATAGGGCAGAGCCTTCTGCAAAGCAGTCTTGAATGTTTTGTTTATACCTTCTGTTCATTTTGGCAGGCATATGAGAGAGGCATCTCCTTGTTTAAGTGGCCAAATGTTTATGATATCTGGAACACCTATCTAACCAAATTCATTGACCGCTATGGTGGGAAGAAGTTGGAGCGTGCTCGGGATCTTTTTGAGCAGGCCTTGGATAGCTGTCCCCAGAAATACGCAAAAAGTATGTATTAAGTGTCTCTCTAACAAAAAGTTGAGCCACAAACTCTTCAGTCAGATTCTGATGATAAAGGTTGGATGGGACATGTCTTCTGGACAATAGTGGATTGTAGCAAACTTCCTAGCCTATCTAATAATCCGTATGGATGGACTTGCTTTATTGGCCTGAGAAGGATCTTGAGGACTCAAAAAGGTCTTTTTCATTGGAAATTGAAGAAAATTGAAGTAAAGAGAAGTTCTCTTCCCAAAGCTGCTTTTTTCAAAAGGCAACTGGACTTTGTTTTTGCTTGAAGATGTTTCTGTTCTCATCCAAGAAGCATCTTTAGTTCAGTTCTTCAGAACTGTGGAAGCTTCTTGGATGAGATGTGAAACGTCATCAAGCAAAAACAGTCCAGTTGCCACTTGAAAAATCAACGTTGGGACGAGAATCTCCATAGACATAGAACTTCTCTTCATTTCTTCATCATTTAGTGGAGGAGAGCAACGTGAATGAACAAATTCTCAGCAAGGATTTATTTGAGTGTTTTTTGATAACAAGACTGCTACTAAGTCTGGATATGAAAAACATTGGCCTGAAATTGAAGGGAGATGAAATTTGGGTCCAATTTTCTTTCCTTTTGCAGCTATCTATCTCTTATATGCCAAGCTGGAGGAGGAATATGGGCTGGCCCGCCATGCCATGGCAGTATACGAGCGGGCTACTCAGGCTGTGCTGCCTTCAGAGAAGCATGATATGTACAACATCTACATCAAGAGAGCAGCTGAAATTTATGGCGTCACCCACACACGTAGCATCTATGAGAAAGCGATTGAGGTTAGTTTGTTCTCTCTAAATTGCATCTATTGGTTTTCCCATCCTAACCAATATTATTCAGCTTCATGATACGGTTTAATCTGTTCTTGCTTGCTCACCACAATTAAAAATGTAGGTCACTTATTAGAGCCTGTGCATCTTGGTCTGCATCTTCCTATATAAATCTGCAGGTATCCTGAAGTCAGTTATCAAATCAAGCCAATAGAAAATGATTGGTATTTGTTGAGTTGATCAGAAAGGCCAGGAAGAATTGCCTGCCCCCTTGGAGAAGGGTACTTTTATTCTTGACTAGGTCAAGCAGGAAACATTCCCATTGACACCCCCAGCTTCTGGAGGTGACTGTCAAGAAAAGAAAAATTAAAAAAGGAAAAGAAATTAGCCATCAGGATAGAAAAAGTCAAACAATGTTGAAAGCCTTCATGCTCAAAGCCCGGAGAGTGAATTTCCAGAACAGCTGAGACGCCTCTAAGACTTGAATCAGGCAATGTTAATCCCTAGAGTCTGCAACAGCCTCCGTACAGCACTAGCGACTTCACTGTACTTTGTGACAACAGAAGAGTGACAGTGAAGCCAGAGAGAATAGCTTAGCATCCTGCCCTCTCCCAATCAATCCAGAAAAGGAATTTCACAAGAGGGAAAGTTGGGTGTTGTTATAGATTGACAGGCTCTGCCCATAGCTTTTCATTCCATTCACATGAGATAAATCAGCAGGGGTACAAAGGGAATCCTCTATCTGAAGTGGTCTGTCAGGAGGGCATAGAGACCCAAATATGGGAATCCTCAGCCCCTTTTGTACCTGCCACTTTGGATATAACAGAGATACCCGGTGGGTGCTCAGGTAGTTTTAGTTCTGCCACTAAAGCAAGAAAAGGACCTGAAGGAGAAGACTGTAGCCCAATGACAGAAGCTGGGCACCAAGAAAGATGCCAGACTTGCTCGCTCCAGCCAAGAAAGGGGGCAACATGTAATATCTATGGGCATAGTCATTTGACAATTAAAGGAGAAGAGTTTCCTGGCAAAACAAGAGGAATCTTTTGTCTCTCTGGGATCTTGCTGTGGCATCGGCTTCATCACAAATTTCTTCTTCCAACTGGCCCGCAACATCCCTTGTCTCCTTTCTCCCACTTCACACTCCAGGAGCGGGAGAAAAGTAAAAGAAAGCCACTCACATAATACGAGTCAAAAAAAAGAAAAAAGGTTCAAGAAGCACCAGGGCCCAGGCAGCAGCCTCCATAAAAGTCAGGTGCTGTCTCAGCATCATTTCACTTATTTTGTGCCCTTGCTCATCCTACAGATTCTGCAGGGCAAATGTCACATGTGGCAGTTCTTTGTGGAATAGGAGGAGGAGGAAGAGGAACTTTTTAGAGGGGATGCTCACCTAGCTAACTTAGACTTCATATTAAAAATATATGTAGTATTACTAGACAATGTGATAAAGATCCTTAAGCTGGAATAGGTAACCATGAATAGACCACCGTATGCAAGCCCTTAATGAGGGGAAGCTATTCAGTGATTCTCTTGAACTACAACTGATTTAGAGTAACAATGATTCATTCAAACCTATTATTTAGATTCCAGCTAAAATATTAGCTTAGAATTAAAAACACTGGATAAACTAAAAGAACAAGGGATAATATTAGACTGGTGGGTATATTTACAAATTCAAACTAAATTTAAGAAAGATGTAAAGGAGCTAGGGATAGATAAAGATTTACAAAAATTGGACCAAATCTTGACAGGCAAGGATATAAAATTTATAACACGAACATATAATTATTTACTGGAGGTAGAACTAGAGGAGGAAATTGTTAAGGGACCAATGATTGCCTGGGCGAGAAATGTGGGTCATAATATAAATTTGTATGAATGGGAAAAGACTTGGACCGAGAACTGGAAGCTGACTTTGTTGACAGCATTCAAAGCAAATCAATATAAAATGTTTTGTAGATGGCACTTAAGTGCTGGCACGACTGGCGAAAATATATCCGACCTTGAAACCAGAATGCTGGAAGTACAAACAAAAGAAAGGAACGTTTTTCCATATGTGGTGGCAGTGTATAGGTCAAAAAATACTGGAAGAAAATACAGATGGCCTTTTGAGATTACAAAATATAAATTGAAATTGGAACCCGAAACATTTTTATTAGGTATGATTAAAGGGAATTTGAGTAAAGATAAAAGATACCTTATTGTACACATCTTAACTGCAGCAAGAATCACATTAGCACAAAATTGGAAGAGTGTTAATATACCACCAGATGAAGTTTTGATTCAAAACATAATGGACTGTGCTGAACTACATAAATTCACTATGGAACTGAAAGGCAAAGAGGATCGAGAATACTATGCGACATGGGAGAGGTGGTATGAATGGGTGAAGGATAAGGATAAAAATAATGTATAGTCACAAAATAAGAATAGAATAGAATAGAATACTTTATTGGGCAAGTGTGATTGGACACACAAGGAATTTGTTTTGGTGTAAATACTCTCAGTATCAAGAATCATAATGTACAACACTAACATAAGAAACGTGTATATACAATGACACAATAATGAGATTTTTATATTTTTTGTTTTTAAAGAATAAAAATTAAAATAAATAAAATATTAGCTTAGAAGGCAGTGTTCTTGGTAACTGTGTCAGCCAGGAAAGTGAAGGAGCTATAGACATTGTTGCAAGGTTTGTGCATTTTCCCACATCGGCATGGTAACTTTATTCCTAAGTGATTGTGTTGCCCAATTGTATCCCAAATACATCCAACGCTAGCAAAATATTCAACAAGTTAAATATTTGCAGGATATTCACTGAAACCAGCGGTCTCTTTATGTATACAAACTAGGAGCATGATTTAAGCGGGTCTGCGGCTCTTCCATTAAGTTGCTGGCTAAGATTGTATTGCATTGGCACGTACAACTTGCCTCAAGCAGATTTCCAGAAGCTTTCCCAGATGAGACTTTTGATTGATTGGAGAAAGTATTGCAACACTTGTAGGCCCATCTTAGGGAATACTGCTACTGGCGCCATAGAGTCTGTGAATGTCTTTTGGACTTGCTGTTCAGATGTTCTTCTGACCAGTGGACAACAGACTCACCAGTACAAAGAGCAAAGAGTTTGCAGTTGGGGAAGAAAGTTAACAATTGAGGATGATGTTTTTGCTGATTGAATGGAATTTGGTTTCAAAGACTTTATAAATCATAGAATGTAAGATTCCCCTATGAATGAAGTCAGTTCCTTGGCCTGAAGAGAGGTTCCTCCATAAAGAGCAGAAAAGGTTTGTTGGGTTTGTTTGTTTTTTCATCTAAAGAAAAGTTAATTGTTTTTCTGCAGAGTCAGTTGTCCGATGCCCAGAAGAATTCTTCCCACTCAATCCAGCTACCTCTCATCCTTGTTCTAGTTGCATCTGCATTTATCTCTTTGGCTGTGGCCTCCATATAGCCACGGACTTTTTCACATTGTTCAACTTGGTTTTGTTTTCCTGGATCCGTTCAGATATTCCAATTGCTAAAATATTCTGAAAGCCCTCTGGATAATCGTAATCCTTAGATGCTATACTTAGCCCTTTCATATTAGTTCATGCCACCCTCGAAGCTGAAGTATTGAAGGGCGGGGTACATTTAAATATCCATACTTTTTTCAGGTGCTATCAGATGAACACGCTCGGGAGATGTGTCTGCGCTTTGCTGATATGGAATGCAAATTGGGTGAAATAGACAGAGCTCGGGCAATCTATTCCTATTGCTCACAGATGTGTGACCCTCGAGTAAGTGGCTTTTTCTGTGTCCTAGAGAACTAGCTTTCTGTCTGCTTGTGGCAACATTTAGTTGCGGGGAGGGAGGAAGAAGCTCCTCATTTTGCCAAAAGAGCAGAGATGATCATGCCCTGCTCAGTTCAAAATAAAGTGGTACCTCGGTACTCATCGTTAATTGGCACAATGTGTAGCAAACACATTCTTCCCATAAGGTATAATGTCACAAGGCAGCCAATACCAACAAATTCTAGCTTGTTGCATTGAGTGCCAAACAGACTATGAGTACCGGGACAAAATTTTCATGTCAAAATGCATCGAGTACCAAATTTGATGACTTTCAAAGTAGTTGAGTACCAGGGTACCCCTGAATATGTATTATGACACGACAATCTTCTATGCAGTTTGGAAAAACTAAAGGTGGATTCTTCCATCTGCAACCGGTTGGATAAAGGTGTGTTCGTTTGTTTTGCTTACACGATAGATATGTTTCTGTTGTTTATGACTGCCCATTCCTGATGCAGAAGATAAAGAGCACAATAATAGTTGACCTCTGTCCTCTTACCCTCATTAAATCTTCCCTTTTTTATATCAGAAAGCTCAGAGAAGAGTGGAAACGGGAGTCTTTGAATCAACTATTGAATTTTGCCACGGTCTCTTTCCCAGCAGTCCTCAAAACACATGTCTTTTTGGTTTCTCTTCTCAGACTACGGCCACCTTCTGGCAGACATGGAAAGAATTTGAGATTCGGCATGGGAACGAAGACACTATCCGAGAAATGCTGCGCATTAAGCGAAGTGTGCAGGCTACTTACAATACTCAGGTCAACTTCATGGCTTCTCAGATGCTAAAGGTTTACAGCAATGCCACAGGCACAGGTATGTCTTGCCTTCTCTTAGACGGAGACGAGTACATCTCCTGTTCTCTTCTAACCGCTCCCTGTCCCTTCTGCTCATCCTGCCTCTTTAACATTGTCTTGTTTCAGTGTCCGACTTAGCACCAGGACAGAGCGGCATGGATGACATGAAGCTCTTAGAGCAGCGAGCAGAACACCTGGCAGCCGAAGCAGAAAGAGATCAGCCTCGAGCTAAGGAGAAGATCTTGTTTGTCAGGTGAGGCTACTATAAGCAGATGACTTTTCTTTTCCCCTTGTGAGGATTATTTGGATTCATAACATCATCAAAAAATCATGATGGGAAAAATGTGATCAATTATTTGATTTGTATTCAGGAGCTCAAGACAATCTTTATTATTTTAACCCATCAAGAATCAGGAAGAAACAGTTGAATAGATAGTGCCCTAGCTGCTAACATGTCTAGAATGAGAACAGGACTGTGGTGTTGCCTTGAGAAACTAACACAAGTTTCTACCAAATAGCTATTTCAGCTTTCAAGCTATCAAATGCATTTTTCTAGGGAAAGATGACAGTGAAGTATTGCCAAGGACAGCCTGCTTTGCATTTATAGTTTTGGTACTTTTTGTACAGTGTGGTCTGAATGATTTGTGACACATTGGGAACCCAGCAGAGTGTACTATTTGGCTTTCTGATTTCATTGACTACTTATGTGATTATGTGTCATTGACATGATGTCAACTTTTAGTGACCACACAGATAAGATTTTCTCCATGATGCTATCCCTAACTGGGTGCTTCAGGTCTTCCACCAGTACCCCCAATATGCCATTGTTACTGAGTTCATCCAGTTTGCTGCTGATCTCTTTCCTTCCATCTTTCCCAGTATTACAGCTTTTTCTAGAGCTGTGCCTTCAAATGATGTAATAGTATATGAGAAAGATCTTGGGTGATGGAGTAAAGAGAAGCTGCCTTGGAAATGATCAGATAAGAGACAGCATAGCCTACAGGTGGATAATGAGCTGGGCAAGAGGCTTAGAACAGATCCTGTCTATTTTTCGGGCTATAAAAGAGATGGCGGGAGAGTTGAACTTAAGTGAGGCATCACATGGCCAGAACTTGTGATTTCACTTCTGCATCTTCATTGTTGCAAGCCATCAGGAAGCACACAAGTGGTAATCATGTTGCTGTGGGATATTGTGACAGTTGCAAATGTGCGCTGATCACAAAGCATCTGAATGGCAATCATGTGGCAGCGGGACACTGATAATTGTAAATATGAAAGGTCACAGTCATAACTTCTAACAGTCACTAAACGAGGCAGTTAGTAAGCAAGGACTACCAGTACTGATTTCTTTGGGGGTATTTTTTTGGTTTTTTTTCCCAGTTATCCAGCTTGCATCAGCTGTAATGTCTCCTATAATTTAGCCTTTTCTAAAGTTAGCTCCAAATCCAGCATTACTTTTTCCATGTAAAACTCTTAATTCATTGTTATATGATCCTAAGCATTATTTTGGTAGCATGTATAATGAAGGGTATTCTGTGATAGTTTGCACATTCTATCAAATCCCCTTTTTTGGGAATTGGAATGAAAACCATCCTCTTCCAATCTCTTGGTCCTCATATTATTCTCTAGATTTGCTGGCATAGCTCGATTAGAACCTTTACTGATTCTTCTTCTGTTGCATGTTGTATGTCTGTAGGTGTTCCATCCATTTCGGTAGTCCTCCAATTTGACAATAATTAACTTCTAGTAGTAGAGGTTCTTGTAAGTAGGGAATATCTTTTAGGGCAGCGGTCGCCAACCGGTGGGCCGCAGCCCACTAGTGGGCTGTGAGAAAATTTTGCTGGGCTGCAGAGAAATCTCACCCCCAGAGCAACCCTCCCCCCAAAAGCAATTAATCCAGGCTGCGCAGAAACACAAGGCTGCACAGCCCACATGGCCTACGGGAACCCTCCCCGCCCACTCACTCCTTACCCGGTAAGCTTGCCTGCTAAATTGCTATTTTTCCTTTTTCTGACCATCATCTGTTCTGCTGTTCCGGGAGATTTAGATAAGTTAGGAAGCAGGAAATGGTTGGATTTCTTGCTTTCTAGCTAGTCTTTAGATCTTCAGCTCTGCTTTTAAAGTACAGCCGAACCTCCCTTGAGACTGAAGGTTTGCTTGCAAGCAAATTCAGTGCAGTCTCACGGAAAGCAAATTTGAGAGACTGAGCTAGCCAATGGCAGATAGATCACTGAATGATTCTGTGAGCAACTCAATCTGCTTGCCTGCTTTGCCTGATTTTGGGTAAAAGTTGTTCTTCTTTATAAAAAATTCAATATTTACATGCATGGTGTGTTGTGAGTTAATTTTGTGAGTTTGCTTGCTAGCAAATTTTATGTGACAGACTGAGCTAGCCAATGGCAGATAGTTAGATTTCTCAATGAATCTGTGATTCTGTGAGCAACTCAATTTGCCTGCCTGCTTTGCCTGGTTTTTGATAAAAGTTGCTCTTTAATTAAAAATTCAATATTTATATAAATATTTATAATATTTACATATAAGCCATGCCCAGCCAGTCACATGACCACCAAGCCACACTCACAAATTAGGCTACACCCATAGAACCAGTTAGTGGTCCCTGGGATCTAAAATTATGAGTTTGGTGGTCTCTGAGGTCCAAAAGGTTGGTGACCCGTTTTAGGGTATATGGACGCTGACCACCTCTACTGTGCAATGTTTCAGTATGGTACCCCTTCCATCTTCTTTTAATCTCCTTTAAATCAGTTACTATCTGTCCGTGAAGTTCCTTTAGCATACCAATTAGAGTTTGGGGACCTTATTCTGAGTTCGGAGGTATTTTGAACATTTCCTTGGGTTTCAATCTTCAATGTGTTTCCATCCTCCTTATAAATGTTATAATATTGCTTCTTGTCTTTTCTAACAGTTGTCTGAAGCTTTTGTTAAGCTCCTGAGTTTGTTTTATCTTTCTTCATGGCAATTTCCAGAATTTGGTTTCTACTCTTTCCACGTTCATCCTTAGAAACTCCTTTGGAAGATAAAGTTATCTTCCTCCTTACCTCAGTAACTGTACCAAGATAGCCTAGACTGAGATGATAACTTTCCAAAAGGCAAATTGTAATCACCATAGCTAAACAGGTGTGAAGCTGGTTCTTCCAGGCAGTGAAGATAACTGGGTGCTTCGAAAATGCTTAAAATTCCCATCCTCCCAGAACTTTTAATTAGGTTTATTGGGACTTGTGAAAGTTTCAGTCAAAGGGCATCAGATTGCCTGTCCTGACACAAGACCCCACAAATTATACGTCTGGTTAATCATCCCCACTCAACCAGTGAATGAATTCACTTTTGTATGGCAAAATGTATGGCAGTATGGCTGTATCTGCTTTAGATGTACAAATGTCAATACGTTTTTGAAAACGTAAAGCCCAGGGCAAAAGGATAGACAACCTCCTTTTATGAGGGAAAGGTAAGTACAGGACAATTCCAATTGGAAATCATGCTGTCAAGTTCATTCTTCTTCCCTTTGCTTATTTTCAGGAGTGATGCTTCCCGCAGTGAATTGGCTGAACTTTCCAAGCGGGCCAATCCTGATGAGATAGACATCAATTTGGATGACAGCGATGAGAGTGAAGACAATGAGCCTGATGGTAAGAGGGAAGGTGGTTAACTCAGAAGCATTCTTCTCGCGCTATGGCTGCTGACTTTGGTGAATAGGAGCTCTGTTTTTGAAAAGCCAATATATGCCCAGCCTTCATACTAACCATTCTAACTCTTCTTTTTACAGAGGTGCAGCTGGAACAGAAGACTGTCCCCTCTGCTGTGTTTGGTGGACTTAAAGAAGACTGAACTATTTGTTATTAATGAACTGCTTTAAGCTGGAGTAGAGACAACACTTTCCTGGTTACCCAGTGTGCCATGTAAAGTCTTTTCTTTGTGATCTTCTAAGCTGCTGTTCTTCTTGGCAACTCAACCTAATAGAGAAAGAAGCAATTTATAAAATACTGTTGATAGTTGTATTGTATTTAACCAACAGGAAGGGGAACTTGTATCCCAAATAATTTACCTTTAAAAGATTTGTGAAAAGGATGGTAATGAATGGAGATACTATTTCTTCATGGGGAGTTTTCTTAAACTCAAGCTTATCTTTCTGGAAATATGGTAATATCTATTCTGAACCAATTTCATTATCACTAAAAGCTTTATTATTGCCTGAGCTGAAATCTTAAAATTACAAACAAGGCAATTATGGAAACAAGGGGAGTGGGGAACGTAATGTACATCATGGTCAAAGGTGAAATAATTGTTTACTGTGTAAAATTAGCCTTCATTCATAGAAATGAACTTTTAAAATGAATGTTCCTATAGTTTTATAAATATTAAGAACTGCAGATTTAAACAGTTTTTCGCAATACAAAACCAAGGCTACAGAATTTCTTAAATGAGCTTTCCTAAAATTGGAATTCTTTAATTTGGAGTCTTCAAGGTATGCTGGAACTAAATCCCCCAGAATTCCCAGCCAGTATGGTCAGGCACAGGAGAAATAGAACTTACGCCTTCCCTCCATCTCATGTTGATATTTGCCAGGAACAAATTGTAACTAATTATATATTAGCTTTGACATTAGAAAATTGAAGAGTATGGCTTTAAATGCATTTGAACAAGTTGGAAAAAGTGAATAAATCCATAGAGCATGGAATAACTTTCAATTCCACTAACAAATACTGGCAGGAGTTTCTTAAAATGCAAGACAATAGGAGCTAATCCCATCTTGAGCTCACTCCTTGTTCAACACAGGCACCTGCATTTTTTACTTTAAATAATCAAGGGATAGTATTCATTCTAAACAATTCTACCATATATTATGGAAGGTAGGGATGAACGAGCGCCTTTCAGAACTGTGTGGCATTCAATTTCTAATTTCAATATCCACTAGTCTTGCAAAGACGCCTCGCCTGCTTATCAGTAGTACAGACTTCAAGATTCAAACGTTCATTGAGTAACGACCAGTAAAGAGCTCATTTAAGTTACTTTATTAAGTGGGAAGGATAAAAATCCCAACCCACTTTTTACATCAACTCAACCCTGCCCTATAACCCCCCCCGCAGACACCTACATAATGCTCAGTCAGCCACAAGAGACCAGATTAAGGTTGAACAAGACAGAATCAGAGTGAAGCATCCAAGCTGAATGGGACCGGCTCCCTCACATCTTCCCCCTACTCTGCTTTGCAAGCAACTTGTAGCTGAGGCAGAAAGGTTGGATGGCAAATGAGGCTCAAATAATCAAGGGCTATTTAACATTTTGTGCCCAGGCTCCTCTATCCTTTGAGCGGGCTGCATACCCAGCCTTATAACCTTGGAAGCAGGTAAACAGGGTTTGGAGAAAGAAAGGAGGAAAGAGAAAAAGGAAGATGGAACACACTCCTCCCAAAGTGGTTGGAGTTTTCTTTTGGCAGTTTACCTCAGGGTACACAGAGACCTGCTCTATGACTATAGCAGCCACCAGCTTCTCAACGTGTAAATGATAGCAGCTGCTGAAAAGAGATCCCGTTAACAGCTCTTTCTCAGCTGTACACCTAATAGCCCTTGTAAATAAGGGAGTAGACAAAAAGGGAGGTGTTCACTGGAAAAAGGAATGAACACACATACGTACATACACACCTTGCTCTGTACTACCTCCACCATGCCAACTTCATATACAAATTCACCCTACCCGCTGTTCCAAATTTGTTCTTTTTTATATACAAATAATTGAAAAATCATTAAATAGCTCATATACATACATATATATATATATATGTATAGTATGTATAAGTATAAACAGGGAGACCCAAGAAATGAAAAAAATCAACATAGAATCTTCCAGGCAAACGGGAGTCTGAAAAATAGACTCTTCCTTCTGGCTGCACATTAACATTCAGGTAGTAGTTAGAGGCAAGAAGCAAACCCTTATTTAGGGCAGTGTTATTATGGCAACTCTTTGAGACTTGAGCTTATGGGATTTGCAGGTCACACCGAAGCTAGTCTTCCAACACCATACCGCCCCACAACCCAAAGCAGCCAGTAGTAGTCTCATCTTCAAAGCAGGCACCAGAAGAATTTCCCAGATAACTCTGATCCAGCCAGAGATAGTGCTGGTCCAGGATTAGAGTCTCAGACCCATGCCCAACATCCCCGTCAACTCAAGCCATCCATCACAGAGGCCAGTTGTTCAGTGTCATAAGTCTAAGTCTAGGCAGAGAGTAGGAACAACACCAAGTTCTTCAGGTCACAGCTCTTTTGGTGTGCTTGGCTTCTTGGGGGTGCCTGGTTTCTTGGTTTGCCAGAGGTGGCCCTGGATAGTGAAGGCGTCCACACTCATGGACATGGTCTTACTGGGAATCTGAGTGAAGCGTTTGCGATCAGAGCTATACTTGTAGATGCCTTCAATCATGGGCAAGGTAATAGTGCGGGGCCCATAGCCTGCTAAACGTGTCAATTCATCTGTTTCCCCAGACAGGGTGTAGAGCGCCCGGAACTGGCAACTTGAATCACGGAAGAGAATGAGGAAGTGGTTTGCTTTGCTCTTTTCAATTTCCTAAGATTGAGAGAAAAGAAACATACAATCCAAAGATTAGATAAGGCCAAAGTATAAAACACAAAACAATAGCCGTAGTGGCACAATGATTAGCAGTATGACAAGCTAATTCTGCCAACTCATCAGTTCGATTCTGACTGGCTCAAGATTGATTCAGCCTTCCATCCTTCTGAGGTTGGTAAAATGAGGACCCAGATTGTTGGGGAAATATGCTGATTCTGAAACTGCTTAAAGAGGGCTGAAAAGCACTGAAGTGGCACATAAGTCTAAGTGTTATTGCTAATTCCTAAAAAAAAAACTACTGAAGAACCAGAAGGTACCATTCCAAATTATATTGATACTAGTAAAGTCAAATTAGGAGAGCAATACTAAATTACCTGTTCAAAGTTGACTCAGCCTTCCATCCTTCCAAGGTTGGTAAAATGAGGACCCATATGCTGACTGTGTAAACTGCTTAGAGAGGGCTGTAAAGCACTACAGCGGTATATAAGTCTAAGTGATATTGCTATTATTTATTTCTTCTCACAAAGAAAAGACTGGCCTTGGCTTATAGTATTAACATCTAGTACCCATTAAAAGGACTCCACCAGTTTTCAACAGTAAAGTTCAGCCATTTACATTTTTTAATGATTGAGTTGCTAGTACTTCTCCTTTTCATCACAACTAAAGAATGCATCTAGGGCTTTCTGTTTATTCTGTAACTGCAGTAAACCTTAAATTTTGGGGCTCTTCAGATGTTTAATATTGTCAGCATGATCGATAGCCAAAGAGTATCGGAAGCGTAGTCCAAAATCTCTAGAGATGAGACTTCTGGTTTGAGCTTCTTCGGCGACAGACTGAAACCTCGTTTCTGTGAGGCTTCGATCCGTGCTCTCCGCTGGAGGGCCCCAAGCTGGCTGGTTTCGGGGCTAAGTTACCCCATAGAGGTGGTGAAGAGGGGGGAGTGTCTGCAGAGTTGAGGAGAGCCGCATCTCTCCTCCCCAGCTGACCATTACTCCCTTTCCCAAAGGCGGTTGTAGCAGTGGTCAGAAATGGCCACCACAAAGAAGAACTAGACCGGAAAAGAATGTGCAGGAGGAAGATAAGAAGAGAAAGTTTAGGTTGACCGGGTCAAACAGCAAAAGCAACAAATAAAGTACTCTGGAATTGAAACTATTAAAAAAAAACAATAACATTGTTCCCTAAGATTTTTAAGCTGTGAAGGAGAGAGAAAAGGGAAGAGATTTGGGTTTTTTTCCTCCTTTTCCTATACTGACAGCTAAGAGACTTAAGCAAGAAATTGGAAAAAAATCCACTTTGACATTAATAGGCATTTAATGCTGAAAATAAAAAGTCAAAGGGATAATAAAGATTTCTGGATAATCAAAAGCTTTTGAAAACAGGAAAGGAGAAAAAGAATAAAAGGGCAGGATCTGGAAGGGAGGAGACTGCCTGGAATTAAAAAGAACTTACAGCAAAATCTTAACAAGACTTCCAAAAAATACATAACTCAAACATTGCAACAAAAACCACAGGAAGAGAAAGTGGAAAAAGAAATAAGAAGAAATAACTCGGGACTATTTGGATTACTTGATGATTTCTGGATTTTTGGTTATTGTATTTGAATGACTAAAATCAATCGAGTGGTTGTTTAAAACTGTTTAAAATGTGTTGTGATTGGAAGGATCGGTCCTGTTGGGAGTTTTGACTCTGATGACTCTTAGATCGTGGATTGACGTCAGAACCAGGAAACGTTAATCTGAAGGGCAAGCCAGTTAATTAGCACGTTGCCTTAATGGGTATAAAAGGACACAGCTGAGCTGGTGCCTTTCGCCAGAAACAAAATGACTATTTGAGTGAGGACGTTACAGCAAAGAGCTCTGAGGCTGAGGATTTATTGCCAGGACTGGTTTGCTGGACAGAGTAAGATTTATGCTGTGGTTTCTGCCAGCCGTTATCTAATAAGACTTCTTTCCGTTTGATTTAATTGTGAAACAGCTGCTTTCTGTTTCGTTCGTTTGAATTTCGAAGGGGAGTCATAACAAAAATGGTTCCACTTTTAGAAGAACTGAAAATGGAACTTAAAAAGTACAAAGAAGATGCACAAGAAGGGAGAGGTTCTTTTGGCTTTGTATTTCAGTTTTTAGAAATGGAGATTTGGAACTATGAGAAACAACAAGAAATGCCTGCAGAACAAGAAGTTTGCGACAAGGAAGAAGCCATCTTTAATGAATAAGTAATCTTAGGTAGGGGAAAAAAGGAAAGGTGGGAAAGAATGGAAAGTTTAAAATTGAGAAAAACAACTCCAAAAAAATAGAGTGAAAAATAAGTATAAAATGAGAAAGTAACAGAAGAGGGAAATGCAGGAGAGAGAATTAGAAGTAGAGAGACAAGGGGGTAAAAAGGGGAGGGAGAAGAAGAGAGGGAAGAAAGAAAGGAAAAGAAGTTATAAAGGACAGAAACAAAATATAGAGGAACAGGGCCTATTTAGAGATAATGGGTGAAAATTTAATGGAAAAAGGGATTCTGCAAAGGTACATAAGATAGTATTGTTATATTAGAAACAAAAATAATTTTAGAAAATATGAAACAATGTATGATTAAAATGTTTGATAAAATAGCTATCGTAATTCGGTGGAATGCTTGTCAATAAATAAATGTAACAAAATGAATATTTAATTATTTACAAAACATGTGAAGAGAAATAAGGGAAAAATTAATTATGGAGATTATATGTGTCTTTAAGGAAGTATGATATTTAATTGAAAAGAAGTGTTAAAGATGTTAAGATTTTAATGATTATTAATGATAGAACTGAATTGGAATGGAATGAGGGTTTATAATTACATATATTTATAATCTTTTTTTTAAGAATATAGGGTGTATTATAAGAATGTACCAAGCAGAATTCGATTGGAAGTTATGTATTATGTATTATATTGAAGGTCATAACCTTAAGGTATATATTGAAGTTTAAATAAGAGTTGAATGGATGTAATTAAAAGATATAAAGATGTCATACTCCAATTAATAACTACAAGAGAAACTTTGTTTAATGAGAAAAGATAATATGAAATTGAAACAGAACAGACAAAAGTATAAATATAATGATTTGGATTGAGATGAGATAATCAAAATAAAATTGAGAAAATTAAAAGAGGAGAAAACCTATATAGAAAATGTAGAATAGTATAAGGTATGGAATAGAACACAAAAAGGAGCATGAAATTGAGCTTTGTGTCTGTATAAAGA